CGCTCTCTTAGTTATGAATCAGAAGAACAGCTTTGCAGCTATGACTGGACGTGGGCTGGGTCATTCACCCAAGTACTTGAGCCGGGAGCAGCCTTCCCACGGTGGCAGGCCCCCCTGCTCACAGCTCCCACACTGTGCTGTGCTCAGGGACTTGAATCTCAGGTTTAAACCTCTCACTTCCCTCCCTGTGCCAGTTCCATAAAAAAGCAACGCTGAAATTCAATTCCACCAGTGTTTAGCCACTGCTTTCCCACTTCCCTCCCGCGCTCCCAACGGCGCGTACTGGCCTTGTCCCTTTACTGTGCCGTTGGAGTCCTCCCCCCGTGCCTGTGGATACAGGCAGTGTCCCAGCTCCCCTGGCTGGGTCCAGGTCCTTGCGTTGGTGCAGGACCGGGAGGGCTGTGTGGGGGGAGGAAGGTGTCGAGGAGCTGGAAGGAGCTCTGCGTTCTGCACTGGGAAAGGTGGGAACGCCTCCGTGCCAGGATAACACCTAACCTGCCTTTACCCCTGCCAGGCTGTAGATGCAGACGATGTTGCTGTGCGGTCGCAGGAGCCAGTGGGTGCTCATCCCCCCGGATTCCGCCCTTGGGTACACAATTTTTACATTTTTCAGCTGTTTTTCCCTCATCTGTGTTCCATTTCAGATGACAGCCTGCTTCTTGGGACTGCTTGAATAGCTCTGGTCATTGTGTTCATTTTTCTGTTTGATCAATTGTTCTGGGGATCCAGCCCTTGTTTTTTCTTTGCTGCTTGAAAAGAGTCTCCAAATAAACTCTCATTTAAACACGAAGAGGATCATTACACCTACAGCTTCTACTTCTGCAATGTCTGCTGTTGGCAAAGCAACCTGAGCACATTGCTTTGTTTTCCCAGTAAAATAGCCCAGTGTCTTGAGTCCAGAGTCGCATTGTGAAACTTGTTCCTTTTGTCCATTTTGTGTTGCAATCACTCTGCCCCATTCAAAAATCACTTTCTCTTCCAGGCGTTAAGCAACTAAATCCTTTCAGATGGAGCCACTTTGGGTCTTACGTGTGCTACATTGTCTTCTATCCCTTTGTGTGCCATTTTGATCTCTCCACTTTTTTCCAGCATGTCTTCCATTCACGCCATGTGTGATTCGCTGTGCTCTGTGATGTGGTGGTGCTGCGAAGCAGAGCTTGGCCGGACGCTGCTCTGGTGGAGCACGGTCCTGGCTGCGATAATCACCCCATGCTCTCTTCTGCTTGTGCTCGTGGTGGAGTTGCTCAGTGCTCGTTTGGGTCTGCCATCCTTTTTGAAGTGTCCCATCCTTCTGCTTCTTTAGGTCACAGAAGAAGCCTATGTCCCGGTTGGAGACATGAACGGCATGGGATTCAGGCCCTTTGATATGGTTATCCCTTTTGCCGTAAGGAAAGGAGAAATAACAGGTACGTGGAGCATGTGTAGCCTCTCGGGGAGGTTTTGCTCTTTGTTAGTGTTTATCCATTTGCAGCTAACAGTCTGGGTGGTCCAGAGCACAGCATGTGGGGGAGGATTGTATCCTACCAGGGCCTTAGTTGTTTCATTTCATATCAACTGGCACCCGCTGAGGGTGAGTGGGATACACCCCACTGATGGTTTGAGTTATATGAGGGGATTCTTGGTACTGCTGTGGTCCTCAGTGCTAGGCTATGAGCTGCTGCACTGTAGGACCTGTTGCTGGTTTTCTCGCTCTGGAGCAGCTGCCTGTGTCCTTGATAAGCTCCAGTATTTGTTCTGTGCAGATGCTGCAAAGCAGTCTAATGCTGCACTCCTGTCACAGACCTTCTCCAAAGCAGGCAACCCCTCTTCCACAGGTCTGGCAGTGGAGAGCAGCACCCCAGTGACACCCCGGCTCCCCAAGCTCCTGCACCCGTGGCCTGTGTCCCCTCCTGCCCTCTAGCTCGGAAGTCCCACCCCAGGCCCTGCTCTGTCCCTGCTGAAGGGATGGTCAGTTTGTCCTTTTCAAAGAGCCACAGGAAATGGAGTGAGGCAGATCAGTGCCTTTCCTGGGGCTTGCCATGGATATTTCAGTGGCTGAAGCAAACAGCCTTGCCTGTAGAGTTTGTAAGGTCACAGGACTGTTTGCCAGATGTCTACCACTGCATTGTATTCATGTAGCTTAAGTAGAAAACATGTCTGGTTAGTGTTCCCATTAGTCTCTTATTTGTGCCTGTGGGTAAGGAATGTAACAATTTGAAATGCTTGTTTAGAATGCCTAGACAATTCTCTGTGGGTGGGAGCAGGGAAGGAGGCAGCTTCTCCTTCTGTAACTCCTGTGGTGGATTTTTGTAGGTGAAGTACACATGCCTTCTGGAAAGATGGATACGCCAGATATTGTGGATAACAAAGACGGCACAGTGACAGTGAGATACGCTCCTACAGAGGTCGGGCTGCATGAAATGCACATAAAATATATGGGAAAGCACATCCCAGGTGAGTCCGACAAAGCAGGTGACCCGTGTCTGAGTGCAGTGTCCTCCTGATGCATCTGGTGAGGTTTCTATAGCTTAGCTGTATATGCTGCAGTAAGCACTGCCCAGAATGTCTTACTGTTCAGCAGCAGTCCAGAGAGCAGCCAGAGCAAAGGAGTAAGTGCTGGCACATGTGAGCCTCCATTGTGGTTTTATAGTACCAGCCAGGCTTAAAATGGATTTTGGTTTTGGAAACTAGCTTTTGTGGCATTTTATTATGAAGAAGAAACATACAATTTTCTGACTACCTTTTTTTTTAGGTTGAAATTTACTGCTGTGGTGCTCAACAAAAATAGTGGTTATAGTATATGTTTACCCTTAAAACTGCATTGGCATAAAATCTCAAATCTGTGGGGAGGACTAAGTGGCTAAAATGCTATAGTTACTCTTTCCATTTCATTGCAATAAAACAAAACACACATGCACACTACGCTGTAATCTTCCTTTCTTCCTGGCTGCGTCTTAACAAACAGAAGCCACTGCCTTTCATTCTCTTTCTCTTCCTTCTCTCTTCTTTGTCCTCACTTCACCAGCTCCCAGCCAAAGCTCTGCCTCGCCTGGAGGCTGGGGCTGCCCCCAGTTCTCTGGGCATGCTGGCTATGTGGCGCTGGAGCGAAAGGGGCAGATCTGTGGAAGGGTGTGTAGGCATGACCCAAAATACCTTCAGCAGTGCCTGAGCTGTGCTGCTGGTTCTGTTGGTGTACAGAAACACGGGATAGCTCTGGCTGACACAGGGAGCCCAATAATGTGATGCATGGTGCTGCTTCGGTGTCTCCAGTCCAGCACTTTGCATCTAGCACTTCTGTAAGTGCCAAACTGTCAGATGTATCAGTTCAGAAACACCGTTACCCTGCACCTGGATGGAAGGATGATGTGCTGAATGTTTCCTTCTTGATGGCTATCACCAATCAAACTTGCTACTGTCTCAGCTGCAAAATCCAGCTTGGAACTTAAGGAGTTATCTGTGCCACTTTTTGAAGCTATTATTGGCTGTTGGTGACTGTACTTTTTGTTCTTGTGCACCAGCTTAGCTAACTTGAGGCTGGCAAATATGTTTCTGGATACCCTTCAAATGTGCTAGTTCAGGTTCATTGAGTCAGACAATGTGCTGTGCTAGTTCCTAATTCTGAGCTACAAGAATTCAGGATCTGTGCCAGAACTGAAAGCTTGCGCTTGAGTCAGGTTCTGATTTAATGTGCTAAAAATAAACCTGTAATGAATAAGACCCTTTACAACATCATTGAAGCTTATCTCTGATAATTTGAGTAACACTCATTTTGTCATGACTGAATGTGGAACAAATTGCAGAGAAGTATCTCTTGAAGATGAAAGGGGAGGCTCTTCATTTATTTAAGCACAGTACAGTCACGTAAAGGTTCTTTAAATATCACATAGAGTGGCACTGAAGTATATGGGTATCAGTAAGCATAAGAATAAGGTCCTGTAGGGTTAGAGCAGCTTGATGTCTGATTTGTTCTTGTAGTCAAGGCCACTCAGAAGTGCTTCTTTTGGGCTGTTTTTTTTCCTTTAGAGAGCCCTCTGCAGTTCTATGTGAATTACCCAAACAGTGGCAGTGTGTCTGCTTATGGGCCTGGCCTCATCTATGGAGTTGCCAATAAACCCGCAACTTTCACCATTGTCACAGAAGATGCAGGAGAGGGTAAGTCTGTTCTTTAAACCCATCGTACCCTAAGCTGGGAACTTAATGTAACACACATTGGCATTAATTTGCATTCATCTGTCCAGTTATGAATCTCTGGTGTGATACAAATGACTTATGCAAATATCAGGGTGCAACTTGCAGTAAGAACTTCTCTTACTTCTTCTGATAGCAGTAGCTGTACCCTGTGGTACAGGGTACAAATGATTCATTTAATTAATAGGGTAGATTTAGGTTGGATATTAGGAAAAAGTTCTTCAACGTGAGGGTGGTAGATCACTGGCACGGGTTGCCCAGAGAGGTGGTGCAGGCCTCATCCCTGGAGATATTCAAGGCCAGGCTTGGTGGGGCTCTGAGCAACCTGATCTGGTAACATTGTCCCTTCTTACTGCAGGGAGGTTGGACCAGATGATCTTTAAAGGTCCCTTCTGACCCAAACCATTCTATGATTCTATGAATTAAAAATAAACTGAGGGCAGCTTAGGTCGAGTGGACAATGTCTGGGTGTGGAGTCACTGTTAGGTAAATGTAACAGACTGAAGAGAGTTGTGGTCTTAGTGGATTGGCCTGAGCTCTCTTTGTTGTTGCCCTTCAAAAAAATGGCATCTGAGCTGCATTTTCAGTACCAAGTACTGGATCTTCCTCTTTGGACTTGGTGTGCATGAAGATTTGCAGAAGGGCTGTTCTTGTTTCCTAGGTGGGCTGGACTTGGCTATTGAAGGACCTTCAAAAGCGGAGATCAGCTGCATTGATAACAAAGATGGTACGTGCACAGTCACGTACCTGCCTACTCTACCTGGAAACTACAGCATCCTGGTCAAGTACAACGACAAGCACATCCCGGGCAGTCCCTTCACGGCCAAGATCACAGGTATGAAGTTTAGGCTTCTAGAAGTACTTCAAAATGAAAATTAACCTCTGATGATGTGAGGGACCTGGCCTGTGGCAGGAACATGAAGTCATCAGACTTGTTCTGCACTTAACCTTGTAATATTTTCTGACTCGTTTCTCTTCACATATGCAGATGATAACAGAAGACGATCCCACGTTAAGCTTGGTTCTGCTGCTGACTTTCTGTTGGACATCAATGAGACTGATCTCAGTCTCCTAACAGCCAGCATTAAAGCCCCATCAGGTCGTGATGAACCTTGTCTTCTGAAGAGGCTACCAAACAACCACATTGGTAAGCTCTTGATCGGAGGGAGTAGTATAGTAGCCTTTATTCCAGTTTGCTTTGCTTTTAAGAATTACTTAATTCTTCTCCACTCCCTCTGAGAGAAGTGTTGTCAGACCAAGTGGTTGATATTGTTTGGTACAGTTGGCCAAAGGCAGAAGGGTGTGAAGAACGACCTCTTGTGTTCACTTGTATGGGACATGCCAGGTTGTGACTGAAGTGCCTTTTGTCAGCATATGTGAGTGGCTTTGTGGCCCATTTGAGAGGAACACTTCAATATGTGCAAAGAGTGCTCTTTCAGTATTTCATTCCTTGGTGTGATTTAAGACATTTACATCAAGTATTGTATGCATAAAAAATAAATGTTTGTCACGTTTCTCTGCTTTGTAGGCATCTCATTCATTCCACGGGAAGTAGGAGAACATCTGGTTAGCATCAAGAAAAATGGGAGCCATGTACCAAACAGCCCTGTAACAATCATGGTGGTCCAGTCTGAAATAGGAGATGCCAGACGAGCAAGAGTTTTTGGACGTGGCTTGGTAGAAGGACGAACCTTTGAAATGTGTGACTTCATTGTAGACACAAGAGACGCAGGTTAGTTCCGTTGCGCAGGGACTGGGAGGTGCTGTGGGATATGTGTCCTCCTAAATGACAGCGTTGCCTTCCTCAGCGTGCGACCACCAGCTCACGAGCTGCAAAGCAGCAGGCACAAATAGCGTATAAAGCATGCACGGTCATTGTTGTCAGGTATTAACTACAGACAGTGCTATTAAATCTAAAATGCTTTGCATTGTCTTGGCCGATGTCTTCTGTTACAACTACCAGGGACTGTCTCTGAGGCACTGATAAAGCTTTTCTTTCAATTGGTGGTGCTGGTTCAAGTGTCATTGTGTACAGCAAGAAGGAAATCAGGAAGATACTTCCCTGTTGGTTTAATGTGGAGCCTTGGCCACAGTCTTTAATGCTGGCATTTCAACATTAATGAAATAAAAAGGAAAATGATCAGAGGATTTTAAGAACTGAATGCATGCTGCGCCTTGAAAATCTGTCTGATTAGGACTACGAAAGTGTCATTAAGGCATCATCCATTATGCCCATGATGATACAAACCTACTGAGTAGCTGCTGCTATAGGACTGGACTATTTTATGTCGAATTTCTAATAGCACTATGGAAATCTGAGGCCAACTTAACTGTATTGTAGGTTATGGTGGGATCTCACTGGCAGTTGAAGGACCCAGCAAGGTAGATATCCAAACTGAAGACCTAGAAGATGGAACTTGCAAAGTGTCCTATTTTCCAACTGTACCTGGCGTGTACATTGTGTCCACTAAATTTGCAGATGAACATATTCCAGGTAAGCGGAAGTGTTGGGCAACTTTTGGTTAGTACAAGAAAAGTCTTACCTAACACTGGAACTGCAGGTGGGCTGTGTCATCAGGCTCGGACCTTAAGTCCCTGAGATTCATGAGGTCCTACCAGTACCCTTCACAAACAGCATGTGTCCAAAACCGTTCTGGTCACATGGGTGTATTTCACTTGGACCTGACTGCTAGCTGAGTCTAAAACCTCCCCAGTGATACCCTGCAAGTCAGAGGAAGCCTTCACTCCTCCCTTGATGCAGTGTGTGGTGAGCAGAGGACTGACTTGCTGTGCTACTTACAGGCAGTCCTTTTACTGTGAAGATAAGTGGTGAAGGAAGAGTTAAGGAGAGCATCACAAGAACAAGACGGGCTCCCTCTGTTGCAACAGTAGGAAGCATATGTGATCTGAACCTAAAAATTCCAGGTAAGCAACGTCCTTATCCCCATAGCCATAACTTGCATTTGGGTGCACGTGGGTGTACCTGAAGCAGTGGAAAAAAGAACTCAGTGTTGTTAAGACAGCCTCGCGTTTACATAGTTTAGGGAAGAAATGCTGGTAGTATGGTCTCTTTGAAGGTTTAAAAATAAGCATAACCACAATCAACATATGGAGAAATAAATACCAGGGAGGCCTTGCTCTGTCCTCTGTACAGTGAGCTGGAGAACGGGCGGCACAGCCCACCCTGTCTCTGGGGTTCTTAGTTCATCGTGTTGGCTGTGAAGTGTTTGTACTGCTGTCTGGCAACGCGATTCACATAGGCCAGCCATAGCTGGCTGCCCTTATCCAGCCTCTTCATCTGTCTCCATAGCATCTGATAAGCTGTAACTGGCCAAGCTTGCTGCTCGCCAGCACACATCTAAATGAGCATTCAAACTGGCACCTACTCTCTTGTCACTTGTACTTCACTTGAGCTCAGGTCCTGCTTCCAGAAACAAAACACCAAAACCCTTTGTCGCTTTCTAATCTGCATTTTTATTCTTTTCTTTTTAGAAATTGATTGTGGGGATATGACAGCCCAGGTAACTAGTCCCTCTGGAAGAAACTTTGATGCAGAAATCGTAGAAGCTGACAAAAACACCTACTGCGTCCGCTTTGTGCCACAAGAAATGGGGGTCCACACTGTGGATGTCAAATACAGAGGGCAGCCAGTGCCAGGCAGCCCCTTCCAGTTCACCGTGGGGCCGCTGGGCGAGGGAGGAGCCCATAAAGTGAGAGCTGGAGGCCCAGGGCTGGAGCGTGGAGAGACCGGCATCCCAGGTGAGTCCTCTGCTCTTGCTGGGCTCTGGTGCCTGCTGTGCACACGGCTGCAACACGGTGCTTTGGTTTTTGTTGGCTTCTCCTCTTAAGAGCTTGAGCAGAGCTTGGTGTGACACCGTAGGGTTGCCCCAAGCCAGGGGTGGTCAGTGGAGAAGCAGAGAGAAATCATATTGCGACACCGTGCAGATGGAGAAGTCTGGAATCTACGTTTTGGTTGTAAGGTGTGCTGTGCGGGGCTCGTAAGCTAATTCAAGGCTAATAGCAGTTTTTCCAAGAGTCTCTCAAGTGTTACCACCTAGTATGATGAGAGGAGGTACCTCATACATGGGATATATAAGTTATGAAGAAGCTGAAACCCAGCAGTAGCAAACTACACTTGTGTGTGCTCTCATGTGCCTCAACAGCCGAGTTCAGTATATGGACACGGGAAGCTGGAGCTGGAGGGTTGTCTATTGCTGTAGAAGGCCCAAGTAAAGCAGAAATCGCTTTTGAAGATAATAAAGATGGATCTTGTGGTGTATCATACATAGTTCAAGAGCCAGGTACGTACCAAGACCAAATTGTACTGAAATAACACTGAATCCTACATTCGAAGATACTAAAGAAAATCCCTGCTTCTTTTCTCCTCACAGGCAACTATGAGGTGTCCATAAAGTTCAATGACGAGCACATTCCTGAAAGCCCCTACCTGGTTCCTGTCATCGCCCCCTCTGATGATGCTCGCAGGCTCACTGTCACTAGCCTTCAGGTGAGACATAAGGAAACATCTCCACAACTTGCCACACAGACTGATTTCGTCCTTGTTCTCTGAGACCAAAACGGTTCTCTTTTCTTCTTACTGATAGCCTTGCCTTGGTTGGTGCTTGTTTTTCAAGCTCAGCTTGTGGCCTGAGAGGCTTTTGGCAGCTGGCCTCATGGTGGCTTGGGCCTGTAGAGCTGGCCTACCTCTCGCTAGCCAGAGTTTGAAGGCAGAAAGCTCAACTGAGTGTGCTACAGGTGGTCACACTTTGGAAGAGTAAGAGGCTCCAGAAATAGCACCGGAGGAGCATTGGTGTGGGCAGATGGAGGTGGCCCCACCAAGAGGTCAGAGCACAGATTTGCTCTAGCTGACATCGTGAAACCACACGGTCACAGTTTGGATGAGTCATGAACAGTAGTGAACCTCAGAGTGAATCCCAGCTTTGTAGTTGGTCTGGCCTCGTCACTTAACCTCACCGTATTATTTTTTTGTGCATGTGGTTATGCTTATTAAAGTACATATAACATTAAAGGCCTGACTTAAACCTCCAAAGCCAGAAACTTGAACGTGAGACTGAGAATCTGTGTCTAAATATACCATACCTCAGTCCTCATCAAGTGGTGATAAGCATTAGTACTCCAGTTGAGCCTTCTTTTTTTGTATATGTCCCAGTTGTGGTCCCCAGGAGTTTGCCTGGGCTGCAGGACTCCTCCACCTTGGCTGTGTAAATGAATCATGACAGCCTGATCCGATAGTATCTGTTCTAACCCAGAGTTACAAGGGCGTTTATTAGTCACTGTGGTATTGATGTTTCTCTTGTGTTTCATTTAAAGACTCTTTGACAGGAATACTTGCTTCAATTAAGTTCTGGAGAGGCAGATAAAGCTGAGTATTTGGTAATGGAGTGCAGTGTGCAGCATCAGCCTCTGCTAATTTCACACCAGGGGCTTGCTTTATATGTTGTACCTCAGTTCTACTCAGTTGCATTTATTTCCCTCTTCAGGATTTAGTTGAAAATGAAACCAGGTAAAGTATGTTCAGCATGAAGTGTTACTGCTGGATAGCTGCGTGGTTGCTCTGGTTGAGGGCTGGTGAAGCACAGATGCCGACCTGCCTTGCCTTCCGCTGATGGCCTGACAGCACGGCAACATCTGGTTTCATGTTTTAAATTACTTTCTCATGTTAAGATGCCTTGTGGTGGCGTTCTAAATGCAGCCTCTTGAGGCAAATATAAACATTCATATGACTCTTTCAGACAACTGGATTATCAGAGGCTTTTCCCCTGAATGAATCTAGAATGAGTGAAGGGGCTGAAAATGGAGCTAGAGCTTAAACATCCTTTAAATCAAGTGCTTGAATACCGGGGGCTGATCTCAGTGATAACGGCTGACTAGTCTGTAAGTCTGCCTCTGCCTGACTTGGCGCAGTTGTCTGGCTTCCAAAAATGGTCTGTTATCCTTGGAAAAATCAGCCTTGCCGATGTGGGTGACTCCTACATCAGCCACCCCCTCAGTGGGAGAGAGATTCTGATTTGAGAGTTAATGCAAGTCACAGCTTTATGCCTTTTGTCGCAATCTTTTTTTTTTTTAAATGTGCTGAAGTGGTTATTTCCCTGCCACAAATCTTGTGCTGTCTGGAACAAGAAGTTTGAATTTGATAATCTGACTGTTGTGTTCTCAGGAGTCTGGATTAAAAGTTAATCAGCCAGCATCCTTTGCTATAAGGCTGAATGGGGCAAAGGGCAAGATCGATGCTAAAGTCCACAGCCCCTCCGGAGCTGTAGAGGAGTGCCACGTGTCTGAGCTGGAGCCAGGTGAGCACGGCTTTACATGGGTCAACACGAACTGGGTGACCTCCAAAACACGCTCGCTGCCCCATGGTGAGGGAGTGTCATCCCTTAGGCTTGCAAACAGTGGGCCCAAGGGACAAGCACCTTGCCTGGAGAGTGACTTCATGGTGTCAACAAGAGTTGTTTGGCCAGGGTTTTGTCCATGCTTTTCCTAGATAGCTCATGAAATGACTAAGCCCTGACTTGTGTAAGATAGGGATATTTAAGCCGTGGTTTGCCAGTGAAGGTACAGTGATACTGGTCATGAAGGAAATACGATGTGGTGAACTTAGCCAGGGAAGAAGTTTGTTTTTCAAAGCTATGCTTCCATCTTTGACTAATAGTTTATTTTTAACTCACACTCACTCCTTCATACAAAGCGTTGGGGAAGCTGAATATAAGCAAACACTACAGAAAGCTCAACACCTGTTTCAGCACAGAGCTTTTTTTCTCACTTGAAGTCTGAGTGAGTTATGGTCTGTACTATGGACAGACAGCAGCTGTCTGGATGGGGAAGAGCAGCCCCTCCTGTGGGTTAACGTGCAATCAAAAATGTTAAAGATCAGAAAATTGCTGAATGACTTCATAAAATAAAGGTGCGGTGTCTGTGGTGTCAGAGCAGCGCACTCAGCACGCTGGTAAGACTTGGCTTGCTCTTACCAGCTGCTTTTCTTCTCTGCGCTGCTCCCTGGACCGCTGACAGATCGGGCTGTGATTAAGCTGTCACATTTCGAGTGTGTGTGAGGCAAATAACCCTAAAACTCACCCTGCAGACTAGATGACAGCTGAGATCAGGTTCTAGTAGACAAGGTGAAAATGCAACCCATGACACCTTGTGCGATAAATACAGCGTTTTCCTGCTTAACTCTGTCTTAGCAGCTTGTGTAGCTGAGTTTGCTTAAGCTGGGACCAAAACATGTCAAAGTGTTATGGGAGCCTTACCTGGGCTGATAACCAGCCCTGCACTGGCTTTAATTGCTGTTTCGTTGGTTTGTTATTATCTCCCGTATATCAGAAAAGCCACTTTTCTCTTGCAGACAAGTATGCTGTGCGGTTCATCCCCCACGAAAACGGCATCCACTCAATCGACGTGAAGTTCAACGGCAGCCATGTCGTGGGCAGCCCTTTCAAAGTGCGCGTTGGCGAGCCCGGACAGGCAGGCAATCCCGCGCTCGTCACGGCGTACGGATCCGGCCTGGAGAGCGGCACCACGGGTAACCCTTACAGCTCTGATACAGACCTGTTCGCACTTCAGCTCTCTGAGAGAGACAGAAGCTGTTCCTAGGTGTATTTTTACATGGCTTTCCCTGCTAAGGCAGCTGAACTAACCCACATTCTCTACTGACCTGGGTGCAGACTAATTTTGCTTTTTTGCTTGCTCCTCAAGTCTTATAACCATGAATTAATGAGTCTGCAGGCTATACTGAGCCTTAACAAGCTTAAAACCTCTGTAAACCAGCACCCACAGCACGAGTTCACTTGAACTGGTTAGCAGCTGGGCTACAGCCCTCCTGGTTAGCTCAGCTCCATGTTGGTGGTCCCTCGGGGCTCCAGAGGAGCTGTGGCTCCATCACGCATGTGAGCGCGGTGTCTGCGAAGGCCGGAGGCTTCTGTGAGTGCAGAGACTGAGTTGGCTGTGTAGTTGGAGTCTTGTTTAACTTGCATACCCCTGTTAATTAAATGGGTACGAGAGCGTACCTGGTTACCTTTTCTTCAGTGCTTGCACCTCTGAGACATTTCAAGTCAAATGTTGTATGATGTGCAGGAGTGCAGTGGGTTGTTTGTGGTGTGCTATACGTGCTCCAGATGCAGCGTGAGCGCTGGCTCTTTGTGTGTATCTGGCACCTAGGTGTCTGCTGCGGCTGCCCCATCTGGTAGTTCTCAACTCAAGAATGTAGGGTTTGGGTTTGGGGTTTTTTTTCATGTATACGATTTATGGCCTTTGTAAGAAAATATGAAAATATTCTAGGATATGCACTTCATTTAATTGTGTGCGTTCTTGAGCCACACACACAGGTGAAGAGCAGAGTAAAACTGACTTTCTTTTATTTTGATATGCAAGGTGATAGCTGGTTCCTCTTAGCCCATCTTACTGCTGTCTTTTGTAGATTTCATTTTATACTTGGATTTTGTCTGGTTTTTTTTTTCCCCTCTTCCTAGGGAAAAAAAATACCGCAGTTTTTCAGTCAAAGCTTCTGCTGTTCTGGAGAAACGAAGCAGTTGGTTTTGAAAACATGTGGATATACAATGTAAAATAAAGATATTATAGCCTGTGCTGCTTTAATAGGTGGAAACAAAAGCACTCATTAATACTAGCCAGTGATGCATCAGGGACAGGGGAATTTTTCTCCATCTGCTCAGAGCTGTTTTTAATCTAAATAGACTGTTTAACTTCAGCAAAGTTACTCAGTGCCCCCTTGTTGAATTCTGGCCGCTGCCAAAAGCTCAGTGCCCTGGGAGCTGCTGAGCAGTGTTTCTGAACAATGACCCAGTGTGGAGGTTTCAGTGGCCGGTGGCTGAGCACCTGAAATGTCCCCCAGGAGGGGCGCGTGTCTGCAGCCTCCAACAATGCGAGCCTTCATCTGGGGCGCAGGGAAAAAGCAGTGACTTTGGAGCAAGCAGTCTTCAGTGAGAAGCCGTGAAGCTTTGCTGGCTTTGGGAGTTGGTTTTTCCTGTGGCTGAGCAGTGCATGTTGCAGGCTGCCTGCCTTACTGCCCAGGCAGGCGGTGTCACTGAGATTGCCGCTAAAGCACCGGACCATGGTGCAGTCCTCGGTAGGAGCTGGGTCCCTCCAGCATTGGGACGCAGCAGCTTCTTGCGGGTAGGAGCTGGGTCCCTCCAGCATTGGGACACAGCAGCCTCTTGTGTGGAGAGGCTGAAAACTTCTCCCCAGTTTATCACCACGCTTACGTGCTGCAGTCGCAGCTGTAATAAACTTTCTCATAACCGTCCTGGTTTTGGTTGAGCCCAAGCACTTTATTCTTCCTCAGCAGTGTCTGATACAACAGCCCAAAGATCATAAATATTTGAAACCAGAGTTAGACAGTAAATTATTTGAGGGCTGAAAGCCTTGCTTAATTTTTTCTTGTGTTGCTGGCATTGTGTCACTGGCTTAGTATTAGCAGCAATAATTCAGCTGTATTAACGAGATGCTGTAATTAAACCAGCTTTTGTTTCCACAAACTGCTTGCAGTGCTGTTGCTGAGCAGTTCAAACACCCATCTCCTTCAGGAGATCCCCTGCCCCTCATCTCTCTTGTTCTTGTGTGGGCTCTTTGCTGCTGATTTATGTCTGGGCAGTGAGACGGCTGCAAGCTTTCCCAAGCTCAGCCATGCAGGAGGCTGTGTCGGCGTGGGCTCTGACGCCAAGCAGAAAGCCTCTTGTTCTAAGAGTTTTCTCTCTAAGCTAGTTTTCTGATGCCAAAATTCTTCCATTTCGGTCCTAAGGGCTCTTGTGACCCCTTTTCCCAAACCACCCTGGAGTCACACAGCGTGAGTGGAGGAGGGAGCCAGGGTCAGAGCCCCTGGTTGGGGCTGTGTGAGGATGCTGGGGGGAGACGCGCTGTCCCTCCCTGCCCACAGCCTTGTCTTGCACCAAATTACCAGTTCCTATTTAATAACAGGCTGCTTTTGTAACGTGGAGTGCGAGGAAGAGTGTGTCTCACTGTGCTACGTCTTTCTAGGACTGCAGTCGGAGTTTTTCATTAACACGACCAAGGCTGGTCCAGGTACCCTCTCTGTTACAATTGAAGGGCCATCAAAGGTGAAAATGGACTGCCAAGAAACTCCAGAAGGTTACAAAGTCATGTACACACCCATGGCTCCAGGAAACTATTTAATTGGAGTTAAATATGGTGGACCTAACCATATAGTGGGCAGCCCCTTCAAGGCAAAGGTTACAGGTAAAAGCTATAACCAGTATTTACTGTGTGCCTGAAGTAGTTTGTGTCATTCAGCAAATACGTCCCTCTGAGACAGTGTGGCATTCAGGTCTAGATGCCCAAAAACACGCGGTGTGTGAAACGTTTCTCCTCATCACCTCCAAAGCCTAGGTATGAGGTATCTCAGGAGGCTGCAGGAGCATTAGTCACGGAACTTGCCAGCTTGACTTGGTGGAGGGCCGTAAAACAGCTCCACGGGGGAGTACTAAATCCTGACCTAGCGCTAGGATCTTGCATTGGCAGCGGGGAAATATGACTTACCTACCTACTTTCCCCCACAGAGTGTGAAATCTGGATGCCTGTAGCATAAGTGATGCCCCTCTCAGACTCATTTTGGCGCAGGTGTCACGTAACCAAACATGAGTGATGTCTGGGAGATGTTTAGATGATGTGAGTTAGGCTGGTTTAGGATGCTCTTTCTCTCTCCAGTGCTGTGTTTAAGCACAGGCTGGAGTTCACCTCTGCTGCTGCCCCTGAGGTAGTGACCCCTCTGCTGGTGTCCGTGGCGCAGTGGTGGTCTTGGGAGCAGACAGCAGGGACCGCGCTCCCCCGGGCTGGGACACGCTCTGCTTTCAAAATGTGTTGTTGCAAAATTGCACCTGCTTTTTCTGCCAACTTGAATAATTTTTGGCATTTGGTGATTGGAGCACAATTAACTCTTCTTAAGCGGCCAGCTTTGCTTAATGAATCCTGAAGTTCCTGTGGTCCTTTAACCACTCAAGGGCTCAGGGATGGGATTGCTGCCAGCCTTGCTGGAAGGTGTCTGCTTAAAAACCCAAGTAGGAAATCGCTCCTCTCTGAAAATCCATTTTGGATGCAGAATGCATGCTGGTCATTAGGAGGGTTTTGAAACCTCCTTGTAAACACCTTTCAGATGGGGTGAATCTGAACGTCAGAAGTCTTTTCTGTTTCCAGGACAGCGACTTGTTAGCCCAGGCAGCGTCAACGAAACTTCTTCCATCCTGGTAGAGTCAGTGACGAGGTCATCGACTGAAACTTGCTATAGTGCCATTCCCAAATCCACCTCGGATGCCAGCAAAGTGGTTTCCCGGGGAGCAGGACTCTCAAAGGCTTTTGTGGGTCAGAAAAGCTCCTTCTCCGTGGACTGCAGCAAAGCAGGTATGGGTACAGGAACCAGCTGGATTTCAGGGTGGTTTAGCTGGACACTTTTTACCCTAGACCAACTTGCAGAGTTAAAATTCAGAGCTTGAGGTGATGATCTGGTTATAAAGAAAAGCTCTAAATGCTACACGGTACTCACGAAATGAGTCCTAATACAGAGGCTGTAAAGATCCTCTCCAAATGGCTCTACCTGAGCCAGGTGCTCCTGAAGGAATGCAGGGTTATGGCAGGAGAACAGACAGGTTGCTGACCTTAAGCAGTCCTTGTATGCATTGTAGCATGCAGTGCAAGGTGTTCCTGTAAGCCTTGAGCACTGGTCGTCGTCGTCGTCATCATCTGGGGGCTTTGTGGTGGGTGGATTACAGGCCAGCCGTGATCGCTGGTCTCTGATGGACTACAGGCAGGCAGTGCCTGCTTGCTTTCATGAGCAGTGTTAATGTCTCCTGTGCTCTGGTTAGATCGTGGGAGCCTGTCGGGTCTGGCAGAATGCACAGATAAACTCTTGCCTCTATGAAGCTGAAGGGTTTTTTAAAAATAAAATTCCCTCTTATACCAAATTAACGTAGCCATACCTCAGACTACCACTCTGTGAGTTAAAACAACAGAATGCTTGTGTTATGGAGATAATGCTGTGGTACCACCGTGCTTGTTTAAGCTTAATGCTAACGGTCTTATTTTCCCGTAGGTTCAAATATGTTGTTAGTTGGTGTCCATGGACCTACAATACCGTGTGAAGAGGTGTCCATCAAGCATTTGGGCAGCCATCAGTACAATGTAACGTATGTTGTCAAGGAGAGGGGTGACTATATCCTGGCGGTGAAGTGGGGTGATGAGCACATCCCTGGGAGTCCCTTCCACGTTACCGTTCCTTAAACTCGCCCAGCGTCGGAGTCGATGGTTGTATTTGCAATCCAGATGTAAAACCATCCTGGGTGCAGTCCTGTTGCAAAATGCAGTATCTAGATACACATGGCTCACATTTCAATACAGGCAGAAGTAAACTCTGTAACTTTGTTTTTTTACAAGCATTTCACTTCTATCCTACTTACCAACCTAACGTCAATCTATTTAATGTCCTCCTCAAATTGTACCTTTGCAGTACTGTCTGGGTCACTGTTAATGTTTGGAGAATCATGTGGAGAACAAGATACTAATTTCCCTTGCGGATGTTAAAGACTTTAGATGTTAATTGAAAACTGGAATTTGTCTTTGTAATTGGGTATCTTAACTACTGATTTTATTTGAGTCGAGACTTTACATTTTAGTTATGAATATGACTTGGGCTATCCCCAGTTCAAATTCTTTTCTGTAAAGAAATAAGGTAAAACTGGTACTATAATAGGTGCCTTTGTATACTTGATCAATTTTAACGCTTAACATTATAAAAAGCTACTAAAAGTGGCTTTACCACTCAAATTTAAAATGTTTTTGTAAATGCTTTGCTAATGGTTTACATTTAAGAAAAGTTTATCTTTTATAGCAAACCAAAAGCAGACTGAAAATGACTTCCTGGAAGCTTTCAGCCTTTCTATGTTAATGCTTTGTGAATCTAGACAGGTAGCTTTTTGGCCATGATGCTAGCAGTGCGGTTTTTAATTTGCTTGATTCTGGTGAGATTTCTGTAACTTTACAGGTAACTCCCCACACTCTGTTTGGTTTATTTTCTTTTTAAGAACAACCCCCAGTTCAGCTGGGTTAAATAAAGTCCCTGAACTTGCCGAGCCAGGTGTAGCTCTTGCCTGGATGACCCACAATTCCCGCAGGTGGGAGCACGGTGGTGTATTGGGAATACGTCCAGTGGTTTCCCTGGAGGCTGTGGGCCAGGCGAGAAGCTGAGATGGTGCAAAGCCTGCGGGAGGGACATCTGCAGTGGGGTATGGGGCGGGAGGGAGGGTGGGTGTACAAATCTGCTAATAATAGCAATACGAATCAAGAAACCTGTCTTTGGTGCAAGTCGTTGTATTTTCTCTCAGTCCAAGGACATGCCTGGAGCACACTCATCTCCCAAAATCCCCTTCCGTGCTGCA